GACCTAAGACAGAAGAACACCCTTCAAGCACACGAGACCCTCCGCCGACCAAACCGAGGAGCATTCGAGGGTAACCTCCGCCAGGATGCACAAGATCATCCAACAAACAAGCAGCACATTAGGGAACCCTCAACCCGAACCAGCCTCGATCTGGTAACCACGGTCCGACCGTACCTGATTTCTCCCGAATCTCCCCGCCACTCCGCATCCTCATCCTCCATCTGCTCGGCCCTCCACCGATCGCCGCAGCGAAAGCCTGGACCGCGGGCGTGGGCGAAGGAGGCGCAGGGGAGCGACGAGAAGAGGAGGGAGGAGGGATACAGTCGGGGCCTTGACCTAAGGAACCCAGAATAAGGAACGAGGCCCCTTTTTTCCATAAGTTAAACTTTGATTTCCGATCAAAAAAGCAAGGAAAACCTGAGGCGAGCTGTGAAACACTTAAGGGAACACGGAGCCCCTCCCCAACGAAAAGGGTTCCTTCTTCAGGGCCCCGACTGTAGAGGGCGAAGCAACCATCCCGTCCCAACGCGCTCCTGGTCCTCCACCCGCCAGCGGGAGGAGAAAGTCAAGGAGCGACAACGACGAGGAGCCGCTCGGATCCGGCAGTGTGGCCCGCGCGGAGGCGAGGGAGCGTCGTCCTAAACGACGGGGGCAGAACGCCGATTCTCAACAGGCAACCGGCGCTGCAACGCAGGCGCCATACACCGTCGGATTGGACGCGCACAGACAAAGAAACCATGCAGTGGAGGCCAGTCCACAAGAAGCAGTCCAGAAGAGAGCCAATCCCCTGAGACCCCAGGACGCCCATGGCTTTCTGGCGGGGAACGTCGCGCCCTCCACGGCAAATCCATCGAAACCCAAGACACCCAGGGCTCCCTGGAGGCAAGCAGGATGCTTCTCGGCATGGGCATGGGCCCCCACCGCACTCCAGCACCTTCCCCAGGCACCATTTGAAACTGCATCAAGAGGAGGAGCAGAGGAGGAGGAGGAGGAGGAGCGGAGGAGGAGGAGGAGGAGGAGGAACGAGAAAGGAGGAAGGAGGCTCCTTGGCCTGGGCCTCCACTGTGAACAGCAGGAGAAGGAGAGGAGGAGGAGAAGAGGATGAGGATGAGGAGAGGAGGAGGAGAGGAGGAGGGAAGGAGGAGGAGGAGGAGGAGGAGGAGGAAGGAGGAAGGAGGAAGGAAGGAGGCTCCTTGGCCTGGGCCTCCACTGTGAACAGCAGCTCGGCGCCACCCTCCGAGTGGCAGCGCGCAGACAGAGCACGTGCGGGGAGGGGGGCGCACCGCTCTCGGGCTAGACTCCTCCGGGGGGGGGGAGAGAGAGGGGGGTCTCGCCATCGCTCGGACGTCCATTTCCCGTGCATTTTTCGGTTTCGTGCGTGTTTATTTTTTTGCTCGATGGTCCAGGATCGTCCTCAATGGTTCTCGCCGAGAAAAAATGCACACGTCCGAGCGATGCCAGGACTTGGTTGGACAGGACACGCGAGAGGACACAAGACCCTTCCGAGGGCCACACCGCCGCAGGAACGTAGGAGGCATGGGTCGCGAGACACAGGACATAAGAATGTCCTTGATTTGGCAGGGTCGACCTACTAATCCGGGCCGACTGTAGCCATAGGTCGGTATCACTGCACCGACCTTGCAGACGTGCTGCAGCGGATTTTCGCGTGGATTTCCATCAAAATGCAAGACCCCGAAACAGCGAGCGAAACACGACGTGAATTTCGAGTGGATGTATGTTTAGTCTTCATGCCTGGCCAAAACATCCGCACGAACATCACCTCTAAATCCGGAACGCAATTCTCCAGGAAACTCCGGGCTCATCCTATCGTTTTCCAAACGAAATCCGCTCTGCGATGTCGGCGCCATGAAAAGTAACCGCATGCCGATGATAATAAAGGGACCCCCCCCCTTCAGTGTTTAGAGTTGATGATCGTCGCCCTATACAAAATTCAAATTGGGCGGCGAGCGCTGAGGCCGAACTTCATTATCACCTCGAAACGCTATGTTGAGATAGCAACATCAAGCGATGTTTCCCTTGAACTTTTTTATCCCTGGGGTTGATTATCCATGGAAAATGAAGCACATGAGCTACCCTACACGAGCACTTTAAAACATCAATTGTCATAAAGCGTTTGTACATTAAAATTGATAGATTTGGAACTTTGGATTTTTCCTTTCTTCGTCCTCTTCTTATTATCCTCTTCTTCTTCTTTCTTATTATTCTTCTACTGTATTATTCTTCTTTTATAGTTCTCTCTGTCCCCACGCTCGCCTGAACTTTTTTATCTCTGGGGTTGATTATCCATGGGAATTGAGGCACATGAGCTACCCTACACGAGCACTTACAAAAAAACAATTTTCATAAAGCGTTTGTAAATAAAATATAATAGATTTGAAACGCGAAAGAAGGGATTTGTCGAGGATGTCTCCAGCGAGATAAGCCATTGTTGAGGATATTTCTATGAAAACGAAACGCCAAGGATGTCTCAAAACGTGCTCGGCTTGGTCTCCTCTTGATCATCCCTTACTTCGAGATTATGTTGAGGTCTGCTGGGCTACTTTTATTATCTCTCCCTGAACCCCGAACTTTATTATCCCCTAGTGTTTATTCTCACGGGCATGAGGTTATGTAGAAACGCGCAGTAGGGAGGCGTTCAGAGTGGATTGGGTTCCGTCCGCCCCCGAAGGAGGACAGACAAAGTGAAGCCACTCGATCACTGAAATAGGACGGCGCTTTTAAATTATGTAGGTTAAAATATGGGAATCCACAAATATCTACTTTCAACGACCGATGGGTACTCATGTCGAATAAAGTAGGAGCCCGTCCAGAAAAAAACAACCTTCTGCAAGAAACCCAGCCCTGAGACCCCAGGACGTCCATCGATTTGTGGCGTGGGAAAGCCACGCTCTCCATAGCAGAACCATCGACACGCAAGAACACCAGGGCAGACCGGAGGCACGCAGGGTGTTGCTTGGCATGGGCCTGCCCTGCACCTAAGGGGCATGACAGATGGGGCGGGCAGCGGGGAGGAAGAGGGAGCGGAGATAGAGGCCTCCTGGATGGGGTCCGAGCAGATGGGGTCAGCGGAACGGGCCGCGTCGCCAATGCGTCGGCGATGCATCGCCGGCGTCGGCGACGCCTCGGCGACGTCGACGTGAAGCAAATCGGGCTCCACATCGAGCCGCATCGGCGATGCAGCGGCGATGCGGCGCGACCCTCCGACCCCATCTACTCGAAACCCATCTAGGAGGCCCAGAATGAAGGATGGGGGCGGAAGAAATGCGGAAGAAGGAGCGGATAGAGGGGGAACAGACGACCGATGGCGCCCGCAGAAAAAGAGAAGGAAACGGCATAAACATAAATTGTTGGAGGTCCGAGCGGATTTCTTGGATCTGCGCTGGACCGCCTTCCCTGGCCCGCGGAGCGCCCCAGGGGCGGCGCTGGAGGCGCCGCTGGGGGGGGGGGGCAGCGCGGAGCCAAGAAATCCGCGCGCAGCGCTCACAATTTATGTTTGTGGCGTTTTTCCTCCTTCGAGGGCGAGCAAAAGGTGCCGATACCGCTACTCCCCAGACCTCTCCTAGGGCGAACTCTCACCAGAACTTCGGAGCTGATCCGGCGATGGCGACGAGAGGGCCTCCCGGGAGGCCCAACAAAAAGAAGGAGAACGGGCGAAAGACAGAGGAAATGGGTACACTTTTTTCTCCTCCGAGGCATACGAGGAAGATGGAGCGGAGAGAAGGGGGGACCTAGAGGCCATAGATGGGGTCGGAGTAGATGGGGTCGGAGGATCGCGCCGCATCGCCGATGCATCGGCGACTTGGACGTGAAGCAAGTCGGGCTCCACATCGAGCCGCATCGGCGATGCGGCGCGATCCTCCGACCCCATCTTTGGAAATTTGGAGATGGGCACCAATACCAACACCAGGGATTACCCTCCGCGGGAGAAAGATCATTCTAGACTTTGGTGGTGGTGGCAATCTTTCGGGCACCCAGGAAGCCCGAACATTACCACCATCACCGAGGTCAGGATCATCTTCCCTCGGTGGAGGCACACCGCCGATCTCGGTGTTGGTGTCAACCTCTAGGCCTTCTACTCGGACCCCATCTGTTGAGCGGGGGCCAACAGTCCCGGTATTCCTATAGTCCTACCACGAAATGTTCTTGGAACCCAAAAATGTTCTGACAACAAAAGCAATGCTCTTATCTTAGAACATCAACCCGATGTGTCAAACCCAGGCGGTCTCCGCCGGAAATGCTCTAAGAACACTTCGTGGGAACCACAAAAGGTTCTTAGAACATTGTTTGGTAGGGCTATAGTGCGAGCAGCACTTCTGTCCATATCCACTGCAGTACGGAGTTTCGGGCTTCCTTCCCCAGAAGCACGAGGCGCACTGGATATGGATAGATTTGCCCCCTAGAGGCTCGATGTTTACCCATGTCCAGTGCACCTCGGCCTTGAGGCGCCCCTTCCCAAAAAAAACCGAAGGCGCACTGGATATGGATATAAATCTTGCCCGCATATAGGCGAGCCAGGACGCTCCGCCACTGCTTGAACCGGGGGAAAGCAACCCTACCTCGCTTTTGACCACCCTCGCTTCCAAGAGATGCCAGACGATGCAAAAATTGCAGCCTGACCTGGCCAAGCCGCTTGACGAGGAGGCGCGTGATGTGGCTTGGCTTTGCCTGGAAGCGAAAGCGGGGTAGGTAGTTCACGCTCTGATTGAATCTTGGGCGCCCGAATTATCCGGGGTAACTCGGGTCCGGGGTAAGTCGGGTTTGGATACCCGAAAAAGGAACCCGAGTTAGCCCTGACCCGAGTTACCCCTGATGATTCGGGGCTCTGGACGCCCGAGTTATCCGGGGCAACTCGGGTCCGGGGTAACTCGGGCTTGGATCCCCGAAAAACGAGCCCGAGTCATCCCTGACCCGAGTTACCCCTGATGATTCGGGGCTCTGATCTGGGAGGCCCGCAACACCGACGACCGCGGGCGCCCGGCCTGTGGGCGCCCTCGAGGCGCGGCGGCTGCCGGCCTCGGAGCCGGCGCCGAGGGGCCCTCGCGGGCGCGCGGCGCGGCGCGGCGCGGCGCGGCGCGGCGCGGGGGGCTCGGGGCGGGCAGCCCGCCGCCCGCGCAGGGAGGTCGCCGGGCAGCCTGCGCGAGCACGACGACGACGACGACGACGACGACGACGACGACGACGACGACGACGACGACGACGACGACGACGACGACGACGACGACGACGACGACGACGACGACGACGACGACGACGGGGGGGGAATGGCCACGACGACGACGACGATCATGGCGGCGAGCCTCAGCCCCCACTGCGCCTCGCGCCGCCGAGCCCCCCCGGCGACCCCAAAACCCGAGCTGGGCGCAGCTCCCCACACCTGCAGCACGCTGGAGGCCTAGCAAGTCCTCAAATGTTCTGCTCTTGGCGCCCGAAAGGGGTACGGAAAAAACTGCAAGTCCAAGAGGGAGTTCAATACTGGTGGTTGATCCCTGCGCTACGGGAAAATTTACTCTCAGGAAGCACCTGCTCGAGATTGCACGGTTGTGACTCTGAGGCGCCATGCGCTGCGGTCCAGATATGAACAGATTCGCTTCGATCCCTTCTCGCTTCATATTTGAGGGTTCTACCCTGGGTGCCCGAAAGGGGTACGGAAGAGATAGGTACGATGCCGAACAGCAAACGTGTTTCCCAAAACCGAAACCGCGGCCTCTGTTGGGGCAGGCGGCTTCTTGTCTTGAGAGGACAGCGTCCGCGGCGGCGCGGACGGCGAGCCCCGTGCAGAATGGGCAGGAACTGCTGTGGGCACCGTGCCTATTCTTTCCGTACCCGTTTCGATCGCTCCGAACGCCTGGGCAACGATCGGGGAGACGTAAGACCCGGGTACGGGGGACTCGGAAATCCCCGACGAGGTCGTCAAAAAAATGACGAGGCCGAGCCTGCATTTTGACGAGGCCTCCCGCTGCAGACATCCCACGAAACTCCTCCTCGTCAAAATCCGAGTCGCGGTCGTCAAAAAACGATGGCGAACCCGAGTCCTGGCAAACCCGGGTCTTACGCTTCCCCGAAACGAGTGGGCCTGGCCTTAGGTCGGGCATGTCCTCCTACAGGCGGATGGGAAAGAAATGAAAAATACGCCGAACATGCTGGACAGAAAAAGAGAAGAAAAAGACGTGACCCGACTACTGTTGCCTACTTTCGAATACTCCTCCCGTAGATGGACATGCCCGACGGTTTATTTCGGGGATCTTCTGACCCTGGTCTGGGTCAGTCAAGACTCGCAAAATCCTGCGAGACCCTGCAAGATCCTGCTCTCAAACCCGGGCCAACGCGAAGGATCCTGCAAGATCCTGCAGAGTCCTGCACCCAAGCCCAGGCCAGTGCGACCCTGGCGCTGCAGGATCCTGCAAGATCCGGCGCTCTGGCTGACCCCCGTTTGCATCGACCTCCGTCCTAAGAACTACACCGAACATGCAGGAACCAGAAAAACAGCAGAAAGATCGTGGCCCGACTATTTTTGCCTGCTGTGGAACAACTCCTCCTGCAGCGGGGCGTGCCCGACGGAAGCCTGGGCCGCGGGGGGGCGCCCGGCCTGGAGCCGCGCCAGGGCGGGGCCGCCCGCAGGAGTCTGGTCGACCCAGAAGGGGGTCCAGCTGAAAGGGGGTGGTGCAATAAATTTGGGGCAATTGTGTTGCAAATGTACTGCGCCGGAGAATTGTATTGCATTGTGTTGCGTCGAATGTACTGCATGCGAAAATCCAGCAACACATCTGCGGCCCAGAATGCATTGCATGCCCCCGATGTATTGCAACCCCACAGATATATTGCACCAAATCTATTGCATCACCCCCTTGGCGCTGAACCCCCTTTCGGGTCAACGTCGGCTGCACGTAAGAGTGACCCTGGGTAAGAGTGACCTCTGGTGCGCGGCTTTTTGCGGGGCGCGAGGAGGCCAAACACAAGCGCGCAAGACGCTGATGTCGCAGCGAGCGCGGCGGTCGGGGGACCCCCGCGAGCGCGCACCAGGGGTCACTCTGGCGAAGGGTCACTCCTACGTGTATAGTCGAAGGAAGGGGGGGGCCGCATCACACGCCACCGAGGGCGGCCCGCCGCGGCGAAGGGGCGCGCCGCGCGCCCCGCCGAGGAGAGGGGCGGGGCCCCACGCCGCCCCCGAGCGCGCGGGTTTTTTTGTGTGTCGCCCTCGAGGGCCTGGCGCTCAGTCGGGGATGTCCTCCTGCAGGGGGAGCTTGGGAGAACAACAAAACATATCCCAAAAAATACTCAAAGATGCCCAAAACAATACGCAAGAAATAGTCCCCGGACTATTTTTGACTATTTTTGCATATTCCCCCTGTAGAGGGACAGGCCCGACTTAAGCCTAGCGTTCGGTCGGGCATGTCTTCCTACAGGCGCAGTGTGGAAGAGAAACGGGGCAACAAAAATCAAGCCATACGACTCGAAGCTGGTCAGAACTGGTAGAAGGATAGTCCCGAAACTATGTTTGTACTATGTTAGGGCATGCCTCCTGTAATGGGGCATGCCCGGCTCAGGCCTATGGGAAGATCTGCAGGCGGTGGCCGATGCTCCCAGCCTGGACCCTGGCGCACGCGGCCGAGGGAGGTCGGACAGGGAGGGGAGAAGAACGACAGCGACGGCGACAGCGACGAGGAGGTGAAGGAGAGACGAGGAGGGCCGTCTCGGCTGAAACCAGGGGGGCTCCTCCTCCTCCTCCTCCTCCTCCAGGAGAGGAGAAAAATGACAACCACGGCGACAGCGACGAGGAGGTGAAGGAGAGATGAGGAGGGCCGTCTCGGCTGAAGCCAGGGGGCTGGATCTTAGTGGGCCCTGGAAACGACAAGGCCGTTGTTTTACCGGTTCCGTTTTGTTTTTTGTGCTGGTTCCGACGCCGTTTTTTTACCGGTCGCCTTTTTTTGCCGTTTTCATTTTCAAGGGGCACTTTTTCGGAAACGGTGAAAAAACGGCCCTGCCGTTTCCGAAACCCACTAATGGCTGGATCCTTTGCAGCGGCGATGGCGCGGGCAGGGCCGAACGGCCTGTAGCAAACCGGCATCGAAAAGCGTGGTGACTGTGCTACCTGCTGTTGAATACTGGCCTCTGGACCCAAGTTACCCAGCATCTCTAACAGCATCAGGCCCTCGAAGGGATGGGGACACATACGCTCGGAAATGTATGTGAATGTGCAAGAATCCATGTATACATTTACATACAGGGGAGATAGAGAGAGAGAGAGAGACAGACAGAAACAGAAACATAAACATAACATAACCAAACCCGAACTCGAATAGAGCATGCATTTGGAAGCAACACCTGTGCAAATATGAAGGGGAATCAGCATTGCAAGGACGGGATGCAACACAGCGGCAAAACGTGCGATGAGAGAACAGGGGGGGGAACACGAGATTGAGAAACGGAGTGAGAGGGACAGAAAAAGAGAGCTAGAGAGAGGGAAAGAGATAAAGGTAGATACAGAGAGAGAGAGAGGGAAGCAACAAAAATAGAACGAGAAAGAGAGAAAGATAATGAAAGCATAAGAAGAATCCAATCCTGGGGCAGACTCCGATCGCAACAATCCGCCAATCGGCGCCCGCTGCGAAGCCTACCCGCGGCACTCCGCGCACATTGCATGGCATTGTGCCCGCCGCTTTATGTTACGCCCGCTTCTTCTCTATCACCCGTCCTTTTCTGCTTCTCCCTCTCTCTCTCTATACATCTCGCTTCCTCCCCCTCTCTCTTTATCGCTCTGGTGTTTCTCCCCGGCACCGCCCCAGTCTCCCCGACCAATCCATCTCTATAATTTCCAATGGCCTGTGTCCACTGCGTGTGTTGACCATACGCCATCGTTACACATCCCGTTGTAAGTGTGAATGTCAGGGTGAGGGGGCCGAACGGTCATTCGCTGTCCCTGGGTGCGTGGCTGAAGTGGGGCTGCGCGGTGCGAATTGCTATTAAATGTTCTCATGTCTAAGGAATAGTAATCGTTGATCATCCCTTCGGTGACCACTGTAGTTGATCAAATCCTGGGGCGCGCATCCTGTTTTTTATAAGGGAAAAAATGGTGTCACCAAACTGTGTATGTGGCCCCCGGCTTGCAATAGCAACAGCAATAAGTTTAGGACAACTCGCTCTTACCTGCCCGCGTACAACCCAACACGTAAAACCCATACCCTCGATACCCGCCCTCTTCGTCTTCGATCGTGTCACCCTTGGAGGTCTACCTGTCGTACCTGCAACGTGCATTTCGTGCAGCCCCAGGGGCAGGCGAAGAGTGGACGGATAGAAAGAAGAGGCACGGGGGAGGGAAGAGGATGGAACACGAGAAGGAGTGGAATAACCAAACGGGCAGATCGGGTGGGTAGACCCTAACAGGCGGGTCGGAGAGGCGGGCCCAGGCGGCTAGGTCGAGCAGGGGGGTTGCTGAAACGGGCGTCCTTCATGAGTCGCGAAGAAGTCTCTAGCGACAGCGTAATTCCCAACAAAATCGATAGGACATCCACATCGCTAGCGTGTTCCTGTGTCGAGGGCGCGGCGTTTAATCAAATTGTACGGGAGCCCACGCAAGAGCACGATTCCTGAGTAGATCGCACGGGAAGTCTCAGGCGAAAACTCAATTTCTCCATAAATTGTGAGAATGTTTAAGCCGGAGCCGTTGTCATTGTAACTCGGGGGCCCGCCGCCAACTTCGAAGCTCAAGACTTCCCCTTATTAGGAACAGGCTCAATAGATAAATGCAGGTGTTACCGGAGGGGGGTCAACAATAACTATTCTTCATGAGTGGAAATTCAACAACAACAACAACAAGGCATAAACACACACTGGCGCACTGGGAGCCAGTGTGCCAGCTCCCGGTTTCGGCTCCGGTGGCGAAAACCCTCACTGGTGCACTGTTGCCGACCCCCCCCCCCAGCAACACGGCAACAGAGCAACACACCCCGACAAACAACAAAACAAAACAAAAAAGGTTCAACCCTTACGGTCGTCGCAGTGTTCCCAACAGGTACATCCAAAGACGTTCCGTGGAGCCGAGCTTCCGCAGCGATCTTCGCTTATCCCTGTTCGGAATACTGCGACAACCGTAAGGATGATATTCTCGAAGTAGGAGTCCCCGTAACAGTCCGCCTAGGAGTCCTCGTAGGAGTCCTACTAGTCCTACTAGGAACCCTCATAGGAATTAACCTCATGCCCGTGAGAATAAACACTAGGGGATAATAAAGTTCGGGGTTCAGGGAGAGATAATAAAAGTAGCCCAGCAGACCTCAGCATAATCTCGAAGTAAGAGATGATCAAGAGGAGACCAAGCCGAACACGTTTTGAGACATCCTTGGCGTTTAGTTTTCATAGAAATATCCTCAACAATGGCTTATCTCGCTGGAGACATCCTCGACAAATCCCTTGTTTCGCTTGAGACATCCGCAAACTATTGCTTATTTCGCTTGAGACATCCGCAAACTATTGCCTATTCCGCCTAATACAGTAGAAGAATAATAAGAAAGAAGAAGAGGATAATAAGAAGAGGGCGAAGAAAGGAAAAATCCAAAGTTCCAAATTTATCAATTTTGATTTACAAACGCTTTATGAACATTGATTGTTTTAAGTGCTCGTGTAGGGTAGCTCATGTGCTTCATTTTCCATGGATCATCAACCCCAGGGATAAAAAAAGTTCAGGCGAGCGTGAGGACAGATAGAAATATAAAATAAGAAGAGGAAAAAAGAAGAATAATAAGAAGAGAAGAAGAAGATAATAAGAAGAAGAAGAAGAAGAGAATAAGGACGGAAAAATGGAAAGTTCCAAATCTACCAATTTTAATTTACAAACGCTTTATGACAATTGATGTGTTCAAGTGCTCACGTAGGGTAGCTCATGTGCTCCCCTTTCCATGGATAGTCAACCCCAGAGATAAAAAAAAAGTTCAGGCGCGCGCGGGGATAGATACATATATAAAAAGGAAGATAATAAAACATATAAATAAAAAGAAAAAACTTGCTGGTTTAGCTTGAAACATCCTTGAGACATCCTTGGAACATTGCTCGTTTCGTTGACACATCCTGAAACGTGTGATCGCTTCGCTTGCTGTTGCTATATCAACATCGCTTGATGTTGCTATCTCAACATAGCGTTTCGAGGTGATAATGAAGTTCGGCCTCAGCGCTCGCCGCCCGATTTGAATTTTGCATAGGGCGACGATAATCAACCCTAAACACTGAAGGGGGGTCCCTTTATTATCATCGGCATGCGGTTGGTCCTACAAATAATCCTCGTAGGAGTCCTACTAGTCCTACTAGGAATCCTCGTAGGAGTTCTACTAGACCCACTAGGAATCCTCATAGGAATCCTAGTAGTCCTACTAATAATCCTCGTAGGATTCCTACTAGTCCTACTAAGAACCCTCGTAGGAGTCCTAGTAGTCCGACTGAGAATCCTCGTAGGAGTCGTCGGAGTCCTAGTAGTCCCACTAAGAATCCTCGTAGGAGTACTACTAGTCCTACTAAGAATCCTCATTGGGAGTCCGAGTAGTCCTACTAAGAATCCTAGTAGGAGTCCTAGTAGTCCTACTACTAATCCTCGTAGGAGTCCTACTCGTCCTACTAGGAATCCTCGTAGGAGTCCTACTAGTCCTACCAGGAATCCTCATAGGAGTCCTAGTATTCCTACTAAGAGTCCTCGTAGGAGTCCTACTAGTCCTACCAGGAATCCTCGTAGGAGTCCTAGTAGTCCTGGTAAAAATCCTCGTAGGATTCCTACTAGTCCTACTAAGAAGCCTCATAGGAGTCCTAGTAGTCCGACTAAGAATCCTCATAGGAGTCCTAGTCGTCCTACTAAGAATCCTCGTAGGAGTCCTAGTAGTCCTACGAGGAATCCTCGCAGGAGTCCTAGTAGTCATACTAGGAATCCTCGTAGGAGTCCTAGTAGTGCTACTAGGAATCCTCGTAGGAGTCCTAGTAGTCCTACTAGGAATCCTCGTAGGAGTCGTAGGAGTCCTAGTAGTCCTACTAAGAATCATCATAGGAGTCCTAGTAGTCCTACTAAGAATCCCCGTAGGAGTCCTAGAAGTCCTACTAAGAATCCTCGTAGGAGTCCTTGTAGTCCTACTAAGAATCGTCGTAGGACTCCCAATAGTCCAACTAGGAATCCTCGCAGGAACCCTTGTAGGAGCCCTCGTGGGAGTCCGACCAAGAGACCTCCGAACTGCCTCAAACACGCCGCCGACAGACATCCCACGATATCCCAACGGTCATCATCATCATCATCACCACCACCATCATCATCACCATCGTCGTCGTCGTCGTCATCATCATCACCATTCGCATCATCATCAGCATCTTCCTCATCATCATCATCGTCGTCATCATCATCGCCATCATCACCATCATCAGCATCTTCCTCATCATCGTCATCCTCGACATCATCATCAACGTCATCGTCATCGTCATCATCGTCCTCACCACCATCACCATCATCATCATCACCATCACCATCACCATCATCGTCATCATCATCACCATCCTCACCATCTTCCCCACCATCCTCATCATCATCGCCACCCTCATCATCCCCAGCGGGGCAGGCCGCAGGCAGCTG